TACCTGCCCCGTCGTGAATACCAGGTCCAGAGTGTGTCCACGTTCATGGGTCAGGCCAATGACGTGTTGAGACAGGCCCATGGCCGTCATAGAGGCCATGAAGTCCTGAGCCGCCCCGGTCAGTCCAGACTCGGCATGGAGATATCATGCCTTTATAAAAGTCTTTCACATGTAGTGGGATGTTCTGCAGATCATTAACTCAGTTATATTGTTTTGTGAAGGAACCCCAAGAGCAGTAGGTTAATTAATGAGTGGGCCTTGATTTCCATTAGACAAGCCACATGCCCAACACAAATCTACCATTCCCAGGATTCCATGGAGAGAAGACATGGCAGTTAAACCAAGTTTGAAATGTAAACAAGCACTTTATTTTTGTCAGCTCTCTTAGTGGGCGTAAGACTAAAAATATAGTTCATCCAGACTATCACATTATCTTGATAATGTTGCTATAATTCAGTAAGAGCCATGAGTACTGCACATGCCAGCTATTTATTCCTATGTATCTCACATCTGATGCAAAGAGTTCAGAATAACATTATGGTCTTACAAAAACCCTGTGAGATAGCTGTGACAGGTGGTGATCTGCCCATGATAATCCAGAGAGCTTCCTAACTAGATGGCTATTTGACCCTGAGTTACCTAACACTATAGCCACTACATTGTGAAGAACTTATATGCAAATAAAAATGACAATCAAGATAACAGAGCTCCATTATGTTCTCATGGGATTGCAGACCAAATGGTCTGTGTCCTGGTGTGCATATGACCAAAATACACAACAGGGGAAGGTTTTCTTTCAAAAGATTTATTCTCAAGAATAACCTGCTGCCAAGGAATTGTTCCAGATGACACTCCTGAGCAATCTCTTTTATATATTTTATATATTGTTCATGAAAGGGTTACACAGTTAACAAGTTCTGTTAGGTTACAGAAGTAAAAGGTTGCAATGGCATGATCTTTCCTGCCTGCATACAAAACCAGAAAGAAGATGCTGAAGGGAGGGGGGGAGGATGGGGTGGATTGGTGTGAATTGCCCTTTGTTTGCGCTGCTGTTATCTGTCAAGAGTCAACTGGCCCTCTTTGAATGGTGCCTGGTTAGTGTAGGCAACATTTCAAGGATGCACGCATGCTGATTTCTAGAAAAGAAGGTTTTTCTCTGGCCTAGCTATGTATCAATGATTGCATGATTTTACCAATGAAAGTTATACCTATTGATCTGTACAACAGGATAACCTATTTGCTTCAGCTGGTCAATCACTGAGCTGGAGTCTACCATGTACAATCTGTGATTGGGTTACATTCAACTGGATGGGTCTTATACAAAAAGGAAGGGTTCCATGGTAGATTCACTGAGGTTTCGCTAAAGAGAGATCAGTACCTTGAATATAGGATGGGGTGCACAACTCAGACACATAACTCTTACCATCATTTGTTCTAAAGTGACAGTACACCCAAGAAAATATCAAAAGTTTCCTTATGGTTATGCATTGCAGGGAAAAATAATTGTTGTTGTTTTAATCTACACTGTTTTAAGTTGTTATTCCTCAGAACTGTTTTGTTTTACTGTTTTTTTTTTCTTGTTTATGGTTGTATGTTTTAATTGACTGTTTTTATTGTCATAGTGTGTTTTTATTTCATTGTAAACCACTTAGAAAGCCCTTGGGAAAATACAGCAGAATATAAGTTTAATAATAAATACTTAAATAGTAGCAGATATTATGTTTGGAGGAAGGAATCCCTGGAAGCACTGCTCTGGGAGAGTGGCCAACTTTAGTTAACTCAGAGTTGGTCAGAATGTAACAGGCATTATCAACACAGAACAGATCTGGGATGTGGGCAAAAGACGATATAAATGTGCTTCCCGAGCAACAGGGGATTTAATATTTGGAGCATCACCCCAAATCTGTTTCATCCAGCATTACTCCCAAAAGGTTCCCAAGGCAAATCTTATTTAAAAGGATTCCCCAAGTGCATAAATGAAGTAAATGTAATGTCTTGCTGTTACTACAAAACATTTCCTTTTAAAAAAAAATAATGTAATTTCTCCTATTCTGTCTAAATGTATTTTACTGTCTCAAAATAAACAGTATTTACAGAATTGGCTATTTTGTATAATAAATTTTTACTTCTGAAGATGAGTAAGCAGTAAAGCAGTATATAGAGAAGAGTCCCTGTGACTTTATTGCCATCTTACCTGGTATTTGAAGTAGGACTTGTTCATACATGCATGTGTATCACTTGTTCTCTCTGAACTTCATTATTGTACCCTTGGGAATCAAATACATGATTAACTTCATTTTTAAAAAAATCTAATGTGATTACAAGAAAGTCATATCTGTGCTGTTACAACTAGGGTAGTTCATATATGCAAGTTCTCACTGCAGTCATACACATACCTACTAGGAAGTCCAGTCTAACTAAGAAAGACATTTGGGTATCTAGATCTGAGTAGTGAGGTTTTAGTAGTTAAGAGCAGTTATAAGGCACTGATGTTCAGGATTGTGCTGCTTGACTGCAATCATTAGGGCACTGACAGGGTTGGATCCAGATTTAGAGATATGCACGATGGACTGAGAGAAGCAGAAATCTCTATACCACAGCAGCCCCTCCAACATGCTGAAAATGCTGCACAGAATATTAGGAAACTCTGCTGAATGGAATGCGCTACAGTGTGTGTGAAGAGGAAGGAAAGATTTCCGGAAATTGAGCAGAGGAACCTTCATGAGCAGAGTCCTTTGGTCAGTGGCAAACAAGTCTTATATCCAGCCCACTAGAAGCCCTAAAGTTTCTACCTGTTGTCTTGGGCTTGTTGTTACTTTTTCCATCTAGCTGTTCCTAATGATGCATTAGGATCTGGGGTCAATCAAATCAGAAGGGGCCTCCCAGGCCATCTGGTCTGACCCTCAGTTCCAGCCAGCTCTGCTCATGACATGCCTACCACGTGCATGTCCAGCCTGTATAAGCAGCCTATTGTTGTTAATTATCCTGCTGGGCTGATCTACAAAACTGAAATAAGGCTTAAGTCTGACTGGTGTTTGGCTATAGCACCTAGAACTGGACAATGTATCCAGGATACAACAGCAGAAAGATCATGGGTCTGCCCTGTAAGACTAATGCATGTACTGCATCTCAAGCATTGAGTCTCCTAACTCAGTCCTGTAAGTCATTCTGAGCTTCATCACAGATTCCTAGGGCAGATGTCAGGGATTAAACTTGGCACCTTCTACATGAGATGTACTCTGCCATTAAACCATTGACTTCCCATGCAAAACTTTTATGGTCTTATCTTCCCTGTACTTTTCTCATGCACTTCCTGAAGTGCTAATATCTGAATAAAGAATCCATGAGTAAAGAATCCATGGAGACAGAGTGTTCTTTCTGAAGACTCAGCAGGACTTTTGGCAGTAATCTTGTCATCAATCTTGGGGCCCATAATTCACACAGGGATATTATATATGCGAGATTCATGTTTAATTTATTCCAAGAGCCATCATCAGGATACTTTTGTATTCAGCAGGCAGGATTTGGTATGTTTTGCCATTTGATCCAGTTCTGCTAGACATGAAAGAAGAAATCCAGGACTTGAATATAAGAGAATTTGTGATGTAGCTATGTGCTTGCTTTCAGATCCCATAAAAGTGGAAAGTAACCTTTGTGTTTTGTTTTTCAGGCACCATTTTGTGTTACCACAGAGATCCCTGCAAACTTTGAGATATGCTGGCACTCCAAAGTAATGCTTAATATTGCAGTTAAGAGTGATACTCTTTGTTGTGTGGCAGTTTCCATGTTGATGCCTTCAACAAAATTCTTGTTCCCATTCCATTGTCCCTACAAAATAGCTCACCCTTTCTTTGCTTAACCTCTAAGCAATTAAGGACACAGCCATTTGCATGTATAAGATCATGACAAGTAAATGCAGAAAGGATAAATTGGCCTAAAAGGCTTTCCATTTGCTTCCACAGAATTTCCCAGACAGCCTTACCTACTTTCTCCTACCGTTTGGTGGTTTCCCAGCTTCTGCACATTTTCCTTCTGTTCTGAAATTTTGAAATGCCTCTCTTAAGACTTAGTTACTGGCAAAAGTTACAGAAACTAAAATGTTCTAATTTTGGTCCTGCTGTTTCTGCCTTTGACCTTGTCCCACCACTGGAATGCAGTCCTCCCAAAAACTTCTTCAAAATAAAATTCGACCCCCAGGCAGCAAAGGTTGGTCACTCCTGGTCCAAAGGAAGGGTTCTGCCAACCCCCTGTTGTTGTTCAAATGGGCAATGAAGTGGGGGAAGGAATTAACAAGCCCTTTCTCTGTGGTCTTGGTTGGCCAATGCAGCTGGTTCTTCAGCCCTTGCTGTATAAGTATGACATGTCAAAAAAAATTAAAAATGGTTAGCAACCAGGCAACCTTCTTCCCAAGTCTTCGACACAGATTCAGTGATCATTTGATGCAGAGTGACAAATATCATTCTGCCTACTGTACCAGGGTCAGCTGTCTGAATAGGATGAGAAATTGAGGGCAGAACTTGCTTGATCAATCCATTCTATATAATTCCAGCTCGTGAAACTTATCTAAGGTGAAATGAAATCAAGCAATGGAGGAAGTGGCAACTACACCACTCTGAAGTATCAGTGAACTTTCTGTACAACTCTACACATGTTTTCTCAAAAGTAAGTCTGACTCACTTGAATTTATTTATTAATTTATTAATACATATATCACATTCTTCACTTACAAGGCACCTGTGGCAATTTGCAATAAAAATATGTTCACATAAATCTAAGAAATGCAAGAGAAAAGGACCATAAAAATTTACGAATGACAGAAAGTTAAACAACATTAAAAACTTTGTGAATCTGAGCAGTCTTTACTGTCTGTCTAAAGCAAAATAAATTAGATTCCACTCCCACTTCTCAGGGGAAAGGGATGTGGGTATTAGGATAGCAGTCTTTAGGTCCCAACAACTAATTGGACTTTTGCAATTTCTAAAGTTTCTTTAAAGAATGGAACCATATTTAAAATCAGTCAAGTTAGTTTCAAATGACTTGTTCAATGGTTTCCATTTATAATTTCAAACTGTTTCAGTTTTACAAAACAACAGGCTGTAAGAAAAATTAGTAAGCATAAACTTTAACTTTATGAACTTCTTTATCTTCACATTCTCTTTCCCTGTCATAATAATAGAATGTATTGTCCCTTCTCTGAAGCTTCTTCACAAATCCAGTTTCTGGCCACCTTTCCACCTGCACGACAAAGAGGGCACAGTGTAAACATATCCAGATACTCTTGCAAGAGTACTAAAAGATATGATAAACATACCAGAATCCAGCTAAGAGCTACATATGCACTTTTATCCATGTCTTTGTGTGGAACCAAGCATGCAAGTGGGTGCTGAGCATGTGATTTCTCAGCATGATCCACCAGCCAGGGCTTACAGACACAGAAAACTGGAATGTCTCCAAGCAACTATCTAGAAGTAAAACGGAAGACTCTGTACTGCACTGGCTCCAGGTTTCTGATATCCCATTAAAGACCCTCAAGACTCCCCTCTTTCTATGAGTCTATCACCACAGTCACCAGTTACTATTGCCACTGCTCTCTTCCTTGACAGACAGAGAGCCAGGGAGAAGGTAAGCTGTGGCACCTGCTGCTGCCTCTCACCTCCACCATGGTTTGGGTCAGAATGAGAGGCAGGTAAACAAGCAGACTGCAAGGGTGAACAGGAGCACATCCAGTTCGTGTCAGTGACCATGCTTACCGTTGAAAGCAATTCTGGCTTGAACTGTAGGTGTGCAACTCAACTGCATGTGCCTCATATGCCTATTCCACTGGGAATACCTGGAATGTCTGGACTCAGTTCAAGATACTGCTTTTGACCAGCTTTAACTCGTTATTAGCTAGACTTTCTGTTGTGGCATAAATGCCTTCTCCAAGTGCAGATCTGTATGCAGCCCACTTGGTGCAAATCAACCACAAGAGGGATTTATCAGTGAGCTCCAAGGAACCCCAAGATGTGCAGAAATAGGAAAGAATAGAAAATGAACTTTAAAATTAGGGAATCAAACAAACAAAAAGCCCAGTGCCATGGGCATAATACTGAATAATAGTTGGGGCCTGCCTGGGAAGACAAAGGGCAATTGAAAAGTTGGAACAGGGCAGGAACTGACTGGGTAAAAACCCAAATAGAAGCTCTTCACACTACAAAGCCTTCTTGCAGGTATTTTATTAATATCTTTCATTGATTTTGTATTTTATTAATACATTTTATATACCTGACAAAGGGGCTAGATTCTAATCTGAGATAAAGGAAAGCATTGAAGATCCTTGTTTGTATATTTCTCTAATCTTCTCCTCACTTTTGCTTTCTTTACAAAATTGCTAGATCTGTACACCTGCCTTTGTGAGATCTTAATTGTATCACTGATCCTTGGAGGAATTAAAAGGATACTGAGAGCCAAAAGCAAAAAAGCTGGATGTTTCATTCCACAATATTTTACCATGCTTGTGACCACTATCCAAAAAACTTGTTGGCCATTCCTCTCAATTGGTAAAGGATATGTCAAAGGATTTGAAGTAGTAAATTTAGGATGCTCAGTTCCTTGTGTCAATCACTGTGCTAAAGTCTCTTTAAACAATGCAAGACGAGTCATCATGCATCACTGAGAGTTCCATGGAATTTATGATCTTGTCAAAGTTCCAGTTTTGAATTAAACTCAGAAAACCCAATTCTACATTTTTGCTGTTGTTGTTAGTTGCGAAGTCATGTCCGACCCATTGTGACCCATACACAACATTCCTCCAGGCCTTCCTATCCTCCTCCACCATCCCCCAGAGTTCATTTAAGCTCACGCCAACTGCTTCAGTGACTCCATCCAGCCACCTCATTCTCTGCTGTCCTTCTTCTTCTGCCTTCTATTGTTCCCAGCATTAGGCTCTTTTCCAGGGAGTCCTTCCTTCTCATTAGGTGCCCAAAGTATTTGAGCTTCATCTTCAGGATCTGGCCTTCTAAAGAGCAGTCAGGGTTGATCTCCTCTAGGACTGACTGGTTTGATCACCTTGCAGTCCAAGGGACTCACAGGAGTCTTCTCCAGCACCACAATTCAAAGGCCTCAATTCTTTGGCACTCAGCCTTCCTTATGGTCCAGCTTTCACAGCCATACATTGCAAATGGGAAAACCATAGCCTTGACTACACGCACTTTTGTTGGCAGGGTGATGTCTCTGCTTTTTAGTATGCTGTCTAGATTTGCCATAGCTTTCCTCCCCAGGAGCAAGCGGCTTTTAATTTCTTGGCTGCAGTTCCCGTCTGCAGTGATCTTGCAGCCCAGGAGATAAAATCTGTCACTACCTCCATTTCTTCCTTATCTATTTGCCAGAAAGTGAGAGGACCAGATGCCATGATCTTAGTTTTTGTAATGTTGAGTTTCAAGTCAACTTTTGCGCTCTCCCCCTTCACCCGCATCAAGAAGCTCTTTAGTTCCTCTTCACTATCTGCCATTAGAGTGGTATCATCTGCATATCTGAGGTTGTTCTTTTCCCCAGCAATCTTAATTCCAACTGGTGATTCATCTAGCCCCGCCTTTCTCATGATGTGCTCTGCATATAAGTTAAATAGGCAGGGTGACAGTATACAGCCTTGTCTAACTTCTTTCTCAATTTTGAACCAATCAGTGGTTCCATGTCCAGTTCTCACTGTTGCTTCTTGACCTGCATATAGGTTTCTCAAGAGACAAATAAGATGGTCTGGTACTCTTGGCTCTTTAAGAACTTGCCACAATTGGTTGTGATCCACACAATCAAAGGCTTTAGCATAGTCAATGAAGCAGAAGTAGATGTTTTTCTGGAACTCACTAGCTTTCTCCATGATCCAGCGTATGTTGGCAATTTGATCTCTAGTTCCTCTGCCTCTTCGAAATCCTGCCTGTACTTCTGGTAGTTCTCAGTCCACATACTGCTGGAGCCTAGCTA